ATTCAGACAATAAAAATGACATCCTTCCAACAATGAATATCCAGGTAAAAAAAACGAAAAAACAATGAAGATTGGAAATAAAGATGGATGAAACAACAGCTCCCCCAAGCCTTAGTGTCTTGATTGCCCCCTGCTGGCTGGCTGCAGTACATGTCATAAACCTGCCTCCTCCATGTTTGCAGATGGGACACACTAAACTAAAAAGTCGACACATGGCACATTTTTCTCAAAGATGGTTTCTGTCATCTTAGGTTTCTTACAATAACGTCTGTTCAAGTGTTCATTTTGTTTTGGTGATTTTGGTTTTGATTAGTTACTTGATGCAATAAAAAACATGTCAAAACTTCATGATTGACAGCTGAGATTGACACTGCAGCTCTGTGATGCAGCAGACACACACTGAGCCTCTGCAACACGGTGGTAACCGCTTTACATTTGTTTCATTTACAAACTTTAGGTTTCTTTTAGCAACAAAATGCACTTAAACTCACGTAACAGTCAAATAACTGGACACAGTTATTTCAGTTTCACGCAACATACTGAACTTTTATTTGCAGATTTTGACAATAGGTCAGCTAATTCGAGTACTTTGGTCAATTTTGCTGTATTTATTTTATCAAGTGATTAAAAAACCTTTTCTTTGAGTTACCAGTTCCTGGGTGTTGCTGCTGCTGGAGTCCTCTGGCTGGCCGTCTAAAGGAGGTCCAGCTGCAGCAGACAGGTTTAAATAGTGTTGATTGCCAATTGGAATGCACCATGTTCCTCTCAATCGTGGGGAGAACATAACTGTTTTTGGTTGTTAATTTTTTAATAACTGTCTTGATTTCGATGTTTAACTATTAATATTAGACAGCATCATACTGGCAGGTTTTGTGGTTGTCATAGTGTGTTTAAATGTTTGTTTGTCTTAGTCTATGCCCGTTTGTGTTTGAATGGCCTGATCAGCCACTTTATATGTTTCCCCCGTGTCTCAGATTGAAAGGTCCATTTGTGCTGTTCACTTCTTACCAGTTGGTGCTTGAGTTTAGTTTTTTGAGCCCCAAATTATTGCCATTATTAAAATGATTGTAAAAAATAAAATAAAACTAACTGTGTCTCTCTGATCTGCCTGCTCCGTCCCTGCTGGGCTCCATCCCTCAATCACTACTGTGCAGACTCGGGCTCCGAGAGATGTCATCAGCATAAGAAGGCAGTGTTTGTGGATAGTGGGAGGAAGTGCAGACGAGTCGTCCATCTTTGTTAACAATCTATGAATAAAAACAATGGCAAACAGTTCATAGTTAAGTGCTGTTTCTTGGTATGGATGTGAATATGAATGATTGCATGAAAATCCTCCATCAGAGAAGAATAGAGTTGAGCAAAAAGTAATTCCAGCTCCTTGTTCTTTACTTACACTTCTGGTGGCACCTGCATATGGTGGCTGTGCTGAACCGCAGACGTAGAAAGGAGTGTAGAATGAACCCCCATCACAGCCAAGGATGACTGGATAACAAGTGTGAAGCAGTGAGGGAGAGGTGGAGAAAATAACCTCAATTTACACTCATTTTCACGTTTCTTTGGCAAATGTTGCAACATATTGGGTTTTGCTGGGGTGAAGCCTGCCTTCTGTCCAGCGTGTGTGTTTGTGTGTGGTATGTGTGGACAATGGGCAGACTCTCTTGGTCTCCTAGTTGTCCTAGCCCCCCATGGCGAGGCTGAATAACACACCTCTGCTTCTTTTCTCTCGCTTACTCATTTTCACACTCTTTTCTCTGCTTCCAAAAGCCTGAGACAAAAGCAGGCTTGTGTTATTGCTATTTTGTTTGTGTGTGTGTGTGTGTATGTGAGTCCTGCCTTGCTCCTTCAGGAAATAGTGCATCTATGGGCATTATGTAGATATTTGAATAGCTGCCACCCATGGTCTATCTGTGGTCTGTGGGTCTCCGTTATTCTTTCTGTGTCTGTCCTTCAGTCCACCTTGAAAAAAAGCAAACGGACAATGACCATACATTTCTATGCTGTTTTTAAATGATTTAAAAAAGTAACATGAGATTTTTTTATATGACGTTTCTTGCTGCTTCCACTATAACATCCATATGTTCTTTTTCTGGCGTCTGCTCACTCAGATCAAAGAAATGATCAACGACACGATTATTTATCTGATATTCAAAAGTCCTTTGTCCATCTTCAGACTTAAAAGTCCACATGTTCCCTCATTTCTATCCTCGCTGGTGTGTCTTCTTTTCTTTTTGTTTTTCTCCTTTGTTTGGCCTAATTGTTTCTCCTGTTGCGACTGCCTGTGAAATATAATGATGATTGTCCATATTTGACTCCCTGGGCAGCCAACAGTGCACTGAACACACAGCCGACCATTGTAAACACCAGCGTATAAGCCTGCGAGGACAAAATCTTCTTCTGGGGCAAGCAAAGTCGTTTCATGGAGAATGTGGCTGTGGCAATCAGTTAAATAAAATAGATTTTTTTTCTCAACATAATA